CCTTGTTCCCACCCAATAAGTTGGGGCAGATGATTGGTCAATCTGAGAGCTAGGGCTTTTGCCAAAATCTTATATGCTACATTTAACACTGAGATTGACCTATAGTTTTTCACCTCTTTTTCATTCTTTTTTTTATAAAGGAGGGATATCGCCCATTTGAACCAACCCTTAGGTAACGTACCCGTCACCAATGAGTTATTGAAGATTTGGCAAAAAAATGGGCCAAAGGCATCCCAAGTACGTACAAAGAGTTCTATTGGTAGCCCGTCTAGACCTGGACACTTCCCTTTCGCCATCTGTTTAGCTACCTGAAATAATTCTTGTGATGTAAAGGGAAGGTCCAAGCTAGACTCAGCTGAGATCGGCAGAATGAAGTGTATAGAGTCCCAAAAACAGGAGGACACCGATAGATCTGAGTCCACTGTGTCCTCCGGAAATCTAGTAGTGACGATATCTGCAAAGTACTCTCTTGCATAATAGCACACCCCTTCCACATCCTTTGGGATATGTGCATCCGGATCCCTGGGGTGAGACAACTCCCTTATCACGGGTTTGGCCTGACGTAGTATGAGGGATCTGAACGTAATCTTTGTCGTCTCATCATACCCAATCAGACCCCTGATTTTTAACCATTCCAACCATTCCCTTTGCCTCATTAATTCGAGTTTTTCCAATTGGGCCAGATTTTCTTTTCTTGGTTGGACTCAATAATAATCAGAAAAAGGGTCCCTACCCATCTTTCCTTCCGATTCCTCTATTGCCTTTTGGGCCTTTTTTTTTTCCATGATCTGTTTGCAGCCTTCATCCGAGAGAACATACTTAAAGTTGTTGTTATGATGCCCAAACCCACTTCAGCCCAATTGTGTTCTTGGAGAAACAAGTCTTTTGCACCTAACCAGGCTGACATCTGGCCCCTTACCCAATCAAGAATGCCCTTGTCCTTTAGTATATTTACATTTAGTCTGAAAAGGGGGGGGGACTCTTTCAAAGTGTTCCCTGGCTGCTATGTCCATACAAATTGGGTAATGGTCGGATAGGAATTTTACCATCAAATCGCACCAGAGGCACCTATCCCAAATCGCTCCCCTGGCCAGAAAAAAATCCAATCTTTTCCTTGGCTGGGGTATATGTGGCGCTGGTTCATGGCCGTACTAGGTATAGCCTCCTTCCTCCGGGTTTAAAACTCTAAAAACATCACTCGTATTTTGTGATTCCGCCAAAGCAAAGAGCATCATGTTGTCCGATCTCAGCTCAGAGGTTTTGCTTTTAGCGATTCTAAACCTGGGTCAAATACTGTATTCCAGTCCCCGACTAACACTATATTTTCTACATCCGGTATCCATGCCAGGAAAAAAACGAAGAATTGGGTACGTTCCTTGTAGTCCACCGGCGCGTACTAAATCGTCATCACTGCCCAATCTTCCTCCTCTACCGCAAACTTCACCCACAGGCAACGGCCCTTCGGGTCTACAAAAAATCAATTACCTCAATCTCTAAGTCGTTATTAAATAGTATCACTACAGCTCCTTTTGTACCCTCTGCAACCTCTAAATTCTTCTATTTTTTCAGAGTCCAATCTGGTTTCGTGAAAGCAGGTGATGTGCACCTCCTGTGAGTGGGTCCCTTCTGAAAGTCTTTTTTTCTTGTCCCTGTACGTAGTATCACCGAGTCCCCTGATATTCCAACAATTCGGATTCTATTGGGCAGGACCATTTCCATGGTCGGTGCCGCTAGGATGTTGGATGCGGGTGGTTGTCAACAGGGTTGTAGGGTCCTGTTCTGTGGTATAGACCTTGGCTTGAAGTCGACTGAGAAAGGAATCCGAAAGAAGGAAGCCCTGTTGCTCCGTTAGTCAGATCCAGTCCACCAAGTGCTGCGCATTCAGGGAACATCCTATCCGGATTTCAGCCAAAGAGTTAGGATCCGCTACTAGGAGGGACGACAGCGAGTACCAATGGGCTTTTCAAGTCTGCCCACTGGTCCTTTGAACCTTGAATAGACTCCAAACCTAAGAAAGCGGTATGGAATACTATTTTTCCTTTGTCCTTCCCATCCACAATGTGGCGCCCAATCTTGGGTTCCTGCAAAATCGTTACAGTCCCCATCCCTCTCAAAACCGCCGACTGCGTAAAGTCTGTGATTTGGGCCTCGAGGATTGGGACTCCACTTGGTACGTGGGGATTTCCAGGGCTTCGTCTGGCGTCATCCGCATTAGCATTCAAGTCCTTTCGTGTGTGGCTGCACAGATAACCGGGATGAAAAGCTCCACTGTTTTTTGGTTGATTCTATCTTTCCGCGCCAGTGTTTTCATTGGAGCCGCAAAACTAAGTTCCACAGTCTGTTTGGAGGAGCGGGAGTCAACTGAGCGTTTTCCTCTTAAATCTCCCTCCTTCTCCTCTTCAGGGGAGAGACACTTTGAAGCATCATTCAGTTTTGTCCTCTTTGAAGGGGCCAGATCTGTCAGGGTAGGGTGTTTCCCTTGGGACTGACTTCCCCTTTTCCCTTTGCTTTCAAGTCCCTTTTTCTGGGTCTTCGTCACTTCTCCTTTGTACCCTTTCTTGGCCTTAAATGTAATACGTTCTCTTCTGTAGGCTCTAAATTCTCCTCTCCCTCCATAGGCTCCCCTCCCCCTTTGACCGAAGGGTTATCCAACCCCTGTCCCGAGGCCGAAGCCTCTTCTTTTGTCATTGGGGGGTCAGAGGGTGGAGTGGGGTCAGTTTTCTGTTCATCTGGACACAGACCCAGGTCAGCCAGGGATTTCATAAGGGATGCTGAGCTGAGCCCAGTTCTCAGCATGTGATGCTCCCAACAAATAGAGTGGAGCCTGTTTTTTCAAAAAAAAAAAAAAAGGAACTGAGTGCAGCCCTCTCAGCTAACGCTGTCTGATCAAAATTGAAGTTCAACGCTGCCAGTACAGGGCCCAGCCTTGCAGAAAGTTTTGTTGCCATAAGCAAAACTTTTTTTTTTTTTTTTTTTTTTTTTGGGAAAAAACGAGAAATTCCATTAAAATTCAAAATTGAGGCCGTGAATTCCTCACAAACAACCCGGAGTGACACAGTCTGCCTGGGTTTAGGGTCATATAAACATAGGATAGTAGATTTGTTTCGACATAGGACAGTAGAGTTGCTTTATGGGTACATGATAGAGAGTAAGCAGTTTCTCTGTTGACAAGTCTTACTGGCCTCTGGGCCTCCTGTGTTGTTGGGGCTGGTTTCCCGACTTTGTGGCTCTGGGTCATAAGCAAAACTCGGAGGGGCTGTGCGGCATGGGGCACTGTTGGAAAAAAAAAAATTCTGCAGCCTCTGAAGTGCTGCGGGTTCCATGCTGAAACCCGTGGGCCTATGTATGGCGAACTGGTCGGCGGGGTTCCCAGCTATTTTGCCCATACGCGCCGGATGACGCCGGAGGTCGGCGCGGTTCCACTGCTACTGGACTGAAATGGCTGGTGGTGCCAGCCAAAAAATTAGCCCCGCGCAGGAGGGGAGAGCTATTTTAGGCTCGGTGTCCACATCTGAGGTATTGCTTCCTGCCCATCTGGCCAGACCCACGTTGCAATAACCAACTTACCTTGGTCGTTGGTACGTGCGAGTGCAAGATGAGTGTTGGTGTAGTATTTTTTATTTTTTTTTTCGGAAAGATCGGAACTTCTATATTTCAATCATCATAGGAGAGGCCGGGGACCTCACAATTCAACCCGGGTTTGAGCTGGGGCCATTACCCAGATAGGCTGTGCTGAAAACCGGGTTCAGCGTCCCAGGGAAAAATCCCTATTTCCAGATCTATGTAACCTTGCCATACACTCGCTGGAAACCCGGTCCAGTGTCCCATTCCTATGTTTATCTATGTAAACTTGCCATACACTCGCTAGCTTTCCAAAAGAAGGTGAAAGATAATTTCTCTAGGGAACCAGAGCTCCCTGCTCGCTGGAAACCGGGTCCAGTGTCCCATTCCTATGTTTATCTATGTGAACTTGCCATACACTCGCTGGAAACCGGGTCCAGTGTCCCATTCCTATGTTTATCAAAGCTTTCCAAAAAAAGGTGAAAGATAATTTCTCTACGGAACCAGAGTTTACCTTTGTCACTTGAGTATCCCTGGTGGACTTCACGAGACCAGTCCGCCCCGGTGTGGTTCTGCGAATGCGAATGTTGGAGCGGATTGCATATCTTAGCGCAGGGAACGAAGCTTTTTCTCTCCTGAACACGGCTGCATTGCGACCCCCAGCATATGAGAGCTAACCCACACACCTTGACCGGGCCTACAGTCCTCAGTAGGATCCATTCTTCAGTCCATGCAAAATCTTTCGCCGATGTAGCCGCTGCTGCTGTATCACGGTCACCCAACGAGCCCGCGCCGTCGGGTAATGTCACGATAGCGTGTATTGGGCGAGAAGGCTGTAAGCGAGGAGGGCCACCTTTACGCCCGTCGAATGAACATGGTCCTACCGGTGGCTTTCTCTCTCAGGGCATACTGATGAATCTGGCCGCAACCACGCCCAGAGCCTAGTAGAACAAGTCCTACCGTGCGTGGTCCGTCCCACAGCGGTGGAACGAGGTCCTAACCGAGGAGCGAGGACCACCCTTACACCCGTCGAATGAACATCAACACAGCAGTGCCTGTTTTCCCGGAGACAATCGGTCCAACAGCGGCGCAAACGACCGACTCTTCGCCAGTAACAAAACGACCACCATAATATAGGGCAATGCTCACACAATACTCACACAACACAATGGCTTTTCTGGGTGTACCTACAGCCTACTCCGGATGTATGTGACCGCAATGCCCGTAGCTCAGTAGAAAAAGTCCCACCTTCTGTATAATATATATAACCTTCGGTCCGAGCGAACGATCGTCGGTGCTTTGCCGTCAGATGAAACCAAGGCATCGGAAGGTGGCTGCTGGCCCTACTGCGGGACATGTTGGGTTACGACCATTTCCATTTATGTGCATTGTAAATCGGTTTAATGGATCGACGAGGTTGACGCTCGAGGACTGTGGACGCGGTTGCTCGCCATGAACGTGAAGGGTCAGCGCAGCAGCAGGGTATCAGCACATGAGCAAGTCGTCAGCGCATCGCTTGAGTTCAGACTGACTCGGCGGAGTGACAACTAGTCGTTGAGGATGACCTTCAGGGAGTGCGCCGGGAAGATTGCGCGGAAGAAGACGAGGGGGACGAGTGGGAAGAGCCACAATAGACAAAGGAATCAGAGGGAGAAGGAGAACGAGGAGGTGGCGGTGGTGGAACGGAAGTAGAGGAGGCGGCAAGAGAAATGATTTGGATGAGGGTAAGGGGGAGTGGGGCGGTCGGAGAGGAGGAATAGGAGGAAGAAGAGCGAGGGGGAGGAGACTCAGGAGAGGAGGGAAGAGAAGTAACGGTGAGGAAGACAAAAGGGACAAGAAGAGGGACAGGACGCCACAAAGGGACAGGGAGCGGCAGGAAAGGACAGAGAGCTTGTGAAAGTGAAAAGAGGGCGAGAAGAGAGCAGAAGTGGCACGAGAGAGGGCGGGGGGAGGAGGAGAATTGGGAGAAAGAGTGAGTAACGTATTGCGAACGTGGTCGAAGCGAGGAAGGGGACGACGCGAGGTCTCGCGCGGGGGCCGTCTTGACAAGTTGTAGCTGGTAGTTGGGGAGTTTTATCGTACACCTCGCCGTCTTCTGTGTCTTCCGTTCTGCCTTTGCTGTCTCGCGCTTATGTTTTGACTGTCGCAATGATGGGATTCGACTGCCGGGATCGCAGACTCCGAATTAGGAAAGCTTAGTAGGTGGACGGGATAGTAATAATAGGGACCTCGTCCCCCTTCTGGGTACTTGTTTGCCTCTGCTGTCGGGATTCCCCTCTGACGTCCATATCCTGACCGCCCTGCGTGTGTGCGCGTCGTCGGCGCGTGTCCTTCTCCTTGTCCATCTCCCTCGTCCTTATCCTCTGTCTCTCTGTCTCTACTCTCCCACCCCTCCCGCTCTCTCTCTGTCCTTCCCTCCCCTTTCCGTTCATTCCTTGAGTGCTCGGTCGTTGATCTGACTGGCTGCCTCCTGTTCGTGCACTCTCTTCTCCATCCCTCTCGTCGGTATCCCTGTCCTTCGTAGACCAGCACACGGAGGGTCCCCCCTAATTCCATCTCTCTCCTATCCCGATCATATCTTTCCCTCTTTTCTTAGCCATTTGTCTCCCTCCTCGTTACGGTTTCCCGCCATCTGCCCTCGCTGCTCCCCGGCATCTGTCCTCTTCAGTTCCCGCCATCTGTCTCCTCGCGGCAGTTCCCGCCATCTGTCTCCTCGCGCCAATTCCTGCCATCTGCCTGCCTCCTCGCGCCAGTTCCCGCCATCTGTCGCCTTGCGCCAGTTCCCGCCATCTGTCGCCTCGGGCCAGCCGCGCCATCTGTCTTACTGCCATCGCTGTTTTCTTCTACCAATTACCTACGGCGCCAGAACCCGCTATCGCTTCGACAGGTGTTGAGCTAATCAAGACTCCTCGGATTGGTCAAGATGATTTCGTTGCAAAACGCGTTAATTCCATATCAAGGCCACGGGCTGTACATGCGAGACCAGATCAAGACGGAAGACGACGACCGCTTCATCTTTCCGCACGCTACGCAATCGCCGTCGGACGGGAGCGAAGTAACTTCCGGTCGGTATCCCGTCCCGTGCTGAGTCTTCTCGTTTCTTGCCTCTGTCATCTGTCTTTTGCCAGTTTCAGTGACGTCCGGTCGGTATCCCGTCCCGTCTTCTCCTTTCTCCCTGCATCGTCTCTTTTGCGAATCTCAGTAACCTCCGGCTTCCCGGTCGGTATTCCGTCCCACCTACCGCCCTGTCGCGGCGTCAATTGCCTTTTTTTGGTGTCAATTGTGGTTTCTTGTCTGCGGCTATGTGTGGTGTATTACGTAGGTGGCGGGCGACTCCGTGCTCGCCCTGATTTTTGAGACTTTGGACTCTCCTTCTTCGTGTGTTTTCGCACGCTGGCGCGCAGGTGGAAGCCTCCTCCCTTGCCAAACCATACACGTCGTATCTTGACGCGCAGTGGGAGCCGCCTCCTCGCCTTATTGCTAGCTTTGTCTTCGTCCGCTGTCGTCTATTTCGGAGGCAGTCGGTCACTGCGCGACGGCAAGACAGGGATGTTGGTCTCGGCGCGCAGTGGTTACGGAGCAAAGAAACGGAGAAGGATGTAAATGAAGGAGAGGAGAATGATGCTATGGCAGTCTGCGAGTGTGCGCCGGCGGCGAATGATTTGTGGATTGTTGTTTCGCGGAAGAGAAGGTAGCCGGCTGTATATGGTGTAAAGAGTGGTCTCCAATTTCGGTAGGCTTAGGTAGGTTTATTTCCAGCACAATGGTCTCCAATTTATGGTGTGAAGTGGTCTCCGATTTGGGTAGGCTATGCACGAAGGGCACTGAGCCAGGAGAGCGACACGAGTAATGAGACAGTTTCCAGTCTTGCAGGTGGCGCGGTAATGAGCCAGGTGGGCCATCAGCGATCCGTCTCGAATAGCACGGAGAGAGAAGTTGAGGACTTGCACACACCAGGGCTTTCCCAAATGCATCTCACTGCAATTACGGCTAGACCTCGATGAATCTGATTGCAATCACGTCCAGAATCTGACTGTCGCAAAAAGTTCTAGTGTGAGTATGCCCTGAGAAAAGTAGGGAATACCCGTAGGGAACCGGAAGGACGGGTTGTGGATGGGGTAGGCAAGGGTCAGGCTGAAAGGGGGAGAGTATCCGTAGGGGATTTTGAAATAGGTTTGGGAGGTAGGCTTGCCAGATAGCAGGCTTACGGCGGTTTATACGATCGGACAATGATGGGAATCGGACGGTGTAGGATGTCTGGCCTTATTTCGACCCGGGAATCTACTCGCAATCGGACGGTGTAGGATTTCTGGCCTTGTCTCGAGTCGGGATTCGAGGTTTGGGAGGTAAATTTGGGAGATGTCATATAGATGTTTGATTGAAGGTCGCGGGCGGTTGAAGTGGAGGAGATCGAGAGAGAGAGAGAGAGAGAGAGAGAGAGAGAGAGAGAGAGAGAGAGAGAGAGAGAGAGAGGTGAAATTTGGGAGATGTCATATGCATGTGTGATTGAAGGTAGGGTAGGTTTGGGAGATGTCATATACCTATTTGATTGAAGGTAATTAGGATTCTGCGATGAGAAGGTTGGGGAAGAGTAGGATGGATTTTACGATGGAATCAAGTATTTGCTGCCCAGTGGTTATTGGCATCGCTGATTGGTGCTGTTGCTATGTTATTACAATCGGCGTGAATATATAATTGGATGTCCAGTTGCTATAACCGACAGTCTGTAGAGTTTTCCATCTGGTGTGGGTGAGTGATAGTCTACTTTGATTTTGGTTAAGGTAGATTATCATTTACAGTGTAATCAGTGAGGGGATTCTGCAGACTGTTGAGGGTTCAGCCTCC